TGGTTTCGATCCTAACTCCAAACTCAGCTTCCATTAGTAATTTACAGTAATTTAAAATCATCAGTAGTATTAAAACACATACAAAGTAAATTTGACTTAAAATAATGATAAATAGTGTTTCAGTAAAAGAATTAGAATAAAAACACTGAGAACTATTAGGATTTAAGAGCATGAGAAAATAGAAGTCTCTCATCTGGTCCTGAATATGCCACTTTTGAGGTAAGATTCTATGGCCAGGACATTACTACCAACAAGATACTATCTCTAGTAGCTATCCACCATGCCTCAAAAGCCAGGGATATTCAGAGAAAATTATCTTAAATTCTAGCTCTCAACAATTACAGAGGATAAAATGTTTGGATAGAACGTTAAAGGTTATCAATTCAAAAGCCCTTAAAGCCACCTGTATCTCCACCAGTATTGAATCCAAAAATATCACTCACATATCTTTGATCTTCTGAATGAATCATCTTCCAAAACATATTAAATATACTCAGTTGGATACATGGACTACCCATCATGCATTTTGCTTACTTCGTTTTACTAAGCTTTATTTTGCCAATTACATGTCTATTGCTAATACAGACTATCAATTGCTACACTTGATTGGATAAAATGAAACAATCAGGAGTTCATCTGATGATTGGTGGAATAACAACATAGTGGCTTCATGGTGATGTCAATAGCATGGGAAACTAAATAAGAGTCATACAGAATCTCATAGCATTCTCACTAAGGAGCACAGTGATAATCTCCTTTGCTCACACTGGTTTTCTTTAAAACCACATTTAACTAATATTACTCAGAATCATTAAAAGATAGAAATCCTCTACCATGAACTTGTATTTATAAAATCCAACTATAAATATATTCTAATGCAGCAGTATTGAAATCTTCTAGTAATTTATTCCTGAAGTTCTTGAATACATACTACATTAAATTCTTAATGCATCCTTAAATTCATTTATCGAATTTGTACATTTCCATTCCACTAAAAATCCACAATAAGAAGAAAAACATATATAAATAGATAAATAGGCACTTGTCCCATGAAGGCAATTGTCCCATGAAGTCACCAAAAGACAAAATTGACTTAAAAGAACAAAATAAATAAATACCTAGAAATGGATATATAGAGCTTGATTATGATATTGAATGGTAAATTTTTTCCTTACCAACTGGAGCCCTAGTGAGATTAATGCTACAAAACTCTGGTTGGAGTGAAAAATGAACAACTGTTTTCATATCTTCTAAGAGCTGGTGTCAGGCCATGGATCATGCTTGCGGAAATGCTGCAGTGGCACATTTCTTGGTCTTTAAGATGAAACAAGACAAAGTTAATATAATCACCACTCAATTGATATCCTGCCTTTATTTTGTAGAGTTCAAGCTCCTGCCCACTATTTTTTCCACCACTACCACAACTCTCTGAGGTGGCTGGGCTGAGAGAAAATGATAGGCCCAAAGTCGCCCAACTGGTTTCAAGCCTAGAACATATGGATATGGAGCGACTCAATGTATGATGTGTTTAATGGTTGTGTGTGCCCCTGCATTTATGCCTGACAATTGGAAGAATGGTGTTATTGTTCCTCTACACAAACGGAAAAATACAACAGTGAGTGGGGGATTCATTTGTTCAGTGTGTCTGGGAAGATGTTTGCAGAATTCTGATTGAAAGATGACCATTTGATGTATGAATATGAGAAACTAAGATTATTGTACACTTGTTGATTTAGCGAAGTCTAATATAAAGTCAGTATACTTGAATTAGGGGACTATTTTATTCTTGCCCAAATGTAACGTTGAAATTAATGCCCTAAGAGGATAGGTGATGTTTTCTTGAATGTTTAATATATTTATAGATAAATGTGAAAAAATTGTTATGATAAGATTATAGGTTGGAAATGACAACGTATGTGTATTTTCATATGCATTTGATGCTACGTTGTTGGCCCAGTAAATGTTAGATTGTATGACTGAAGTGAGAAGTATGGATTTTAAAAGTAATGTATGAAAAATCATGATTGCTGTGTTTGGCAGGAAAAATGAAATGACCAATTATAAATTATACAGAAATGGCAAAAAACAAAGGAAGTGAACAAATGTATGTATCCTGGTAGAATGTAGGCCAAAACTGTAAAATGAAGAAGTTTTGAGATGTGCAAACACAGATGTAAAGATAGTGGTTAATATGTGATCTGTTACAAGGAATGAATGTTTGTGAAAACAAATGACTTTGCTTATTTTGTAATGTGAAAGTGAGAGTTAAGTATGCCAGAAAAAAACTGAAAAGGTAAATTGAATGCAATGAAAACAGGGAATTAATATAGCTATGATTTAAAACAAGAAGGGTAGAATAAAAAATAAATGGGTGCTGAATAAATACGGACTTGGTACAAAAATTAACTGGCAGATAGACAAGACCTATGTTAAATTGGTTTGGTCATACATGGAGAAAGAAAAAGGAAATAATTGTAAAACACATATAATAGAAAGACAAATGTGTTGAGAGGAAGGGGAGGTCTAAGAAAGCTATAGTCCAGTAGAGATAAGCATTAGAGTAATATATGGAAGTAGGAGAAACAAGGATGTTGATAAGGATAGAAATATAAGAAGAGATAAAGGATTTGCTGTGGGTATAAATTAGGTTCAGTTTTTCTCTCTTACTGCAGTCTACATTTCTTTAACTTACTATTTCTTACTCCTATTTTGTCTTTTCTGTAATGTTGCTTAATCCCACAAGAAATATTTTAGCTGTAAGACGAGTTGTGGCATTATCTACTTATGTATGAGGAAGAGAAAACACATCTCCTTATAAAATGTATGCATTTGAAAGATGAGATGATTTAATGTCTATATTTTAAAACATAAAAACCATTTTTTCTAGCATTTGAGCTATTATTCTTTCAATAAGAAAACCATCCATTGCATATGAAGAGATGAGTTGGTATCTCTTATAGAGAAAATTATGACATTCAATGTATATTTAAAGAAATTCTCCCCTTTATTAATGTTGCTTCCCACTGTGAAAGAAAATAGAGAGGATAAAAATGTATGCAACAGTACCCATAGCTACCAGCCACCATACTGGTAGTTCTTGACTTAAAATCACAAATGAGCCCCAATTTTCTGTTGCTACACAAGACAATTGTTAACTGAATTTTGTCGCATTTTTTAAACTTCCTTGCCACAGTTATTAAGTGAATCACTGCAGTTGTTAAGGTAGTAATATGGTTATTAAGTAAATCTGGCTTCCCCATTGACTTTGCTTGTCAGAAGGTTGCAAAAGGTGATCACACCATCCCAGGACAGTACAACCGTCATAAATACATGCCAGTTGCCAAGTATTCAAATTTTGATCTTGTGACCATGGAGATGGTGTAATGGTCGTAAGTGTGAAAAATGGTCATAAGTCACTTTTTTCAGGGCTGTGTGTAATTTTGAACAGTCACTAAATCAATGGGTGTAAATTGAGGATTACCTATATTCCCAATTATTCTGATTAATAAAACCTTGTTCTGTTTTAAATGTCTCCAGTAGATGGTGCTGATGGCTACAAACTCAACTAGCTACCTGAAAGTGCATTTAGGCAACACAATCCCATGATATTTTGATTCATAAAAATCAAAAGGCAGGCCTACAGGATGAATATAAAAACAGGAAAATGAATTGGCTGCTCCATTTTTTCACATAAATACACAAAAAGGCATAAGAAATTTGGGGACTCAGATCCAAGATTTCTCAGGAAGGCTACTTGTGTAGCCTTTACCTGATTTTTAGCGATTTTTCCCACATTTTTAATTGTGAAATTTAAATTTAAATTCAAATTGGTACATTTAAAAAGTTTTTTAATGTACCAAAGGTGCTTTTTCAAAAGGCAACTGGACTTTCTTTGTTTTTCCTTGAAGATTTTTCACTTCTCATCAAGAAGCTTCTTCAGTTCTGAACTGAAGAAGTTTCTTGGATGAGAAGTGGAACATCATCAAGGAAAAACAAAGAAAATCCAATTGCCTTTTGAAAAAGCACCTTTGATACAATCATGACCTGGATGACTGAGAATCTCCATTGACATTTTCTAAATGTAATGTACAAACATTAGAGTAATATTTGTCAAAGTCTGTACATGAAGTAAAATGGAGACAATAGGGAATAAACATGTTCTTAGGTATTAGATCAAAAATTAGATTAAACTACAGGGAAGTTAAAACAAGCTATTTAGTCAATAGGAAACTACTTAGAAAAACCCAAATATTTAGCAGAAAAATATTAATGACCAATAGCAAATAAAGTTATTATTTAACAAATTCTGATTTGGTAAAATGCATCTTAGTGGCTTTATGGGATTAATAATTTTCCCTACCTACATCTCTACTGTATTAATATTATTGCTCTGTTATGAGAACAAACAATGTAACAGGACATTTATAAAGGTCAGGATGTCTCCTGCAATTAGATAGAAATAAATATGTTAGCCACCTAACATATTTGTTTGAATATAAAGGTAGGATATAAATGAAATTAAATAAATTATTGGCTTCATGGCTTGTTTACTCAGAAATAAATGCCACTTATGTTAATGGAGCTTAGTTCCAATTATGGGCCGCAGTCCGAATTTTCTTCAACCTGTATGAAACCTGATTGCCTGGATTCCTGTTAGATTGTTTTTCTAGTAATCCAGCATAAAAAATAAAGCAAAACATGTTGTGGAACTCTTTGTGCTATATCTCCCTCCAGTTTAAGGGGAAAGGACAACAAAAAGCCTTCTTCCCTCCACACACAGGGTCACACACTCACTAACTCTCTCACACACGCTTGCACGCACACATACACTGGGTCTCCTGTCTGTGTGCCACTCCCCTATTGTTTTCACTATAACTGATTCTGGCAACAGCTCTTTAGCACTTTGGAAGGGGCTTCATTAGCACTGGGCCATTGGCCAAAAGGAATCCTGAAAAAAAAAATCATCACATGGCTTCTCTTATTCTTTGGATAAATGACAGCTTTGGCTAAAGAACAACAACATGAAGGAACACTATACAAGCCTAGAAGGAACAGGGTAGCATCATGTGAACAGAGAGGCCAACTTGAAGTTCTGCAGAAAATGTGGGGACTCCCTGAATTCCAAGCCAAAATTCCATGTCCAAAAGGCCCCGCTGGAGAAGATCGCAATTCAGATATGGCTACCTGAACAGAGATGAGAGGTGGGTTTTCAAAATGGAGGGTTTAAATTTAAAAAGAGAAGTTAACCCTAGCTGAAAGCATGTTCACAGCCTATGATGGCTGGTACTGTATGGAAAACATTGGAATTAGGAATGACCACACTTGTGCTCCTGCCAGTCTTAGATTTAGTCTTCTAAATATTTATATAACAAGGTGCTAACGTTGCTATCTGTTACAGTCCTAGAAACTTTTAATTTTGTTTAGAGATGAAGAGATCATAATCTAAAGCAGGGGTCTTCAAACTTGGCCCTTTTGTGACTTGTGGACTTCAACTCCCAGAATTCTTCAGCCAGGTGCCTAGCTGAGAAATTCTGGCAGTTGAAGTCCACAAGTCATAAAAGGGCCAAGTTTGAAGACCTCTGCTCTAAAGGTATAAAAAATGCAAAGATTGGGGAATTCCCCACCACTAGTTTTATTTCAGCATATTAAACTTATTGGGACGGTTACTTATGGTTTTGCTTTAACTCAGATCTGTCTTATCTTAAAATGATTTTGCAGGTCTGAAATATGTAAGAAGGCTACCAAAAAAAGCATTTAAGCCATTAAAAAAAACTCCATTAGGAAATTTAAACCTTTAAAATTACCATTAATTTTCTAAATAGTAACTTTGCATTAATAATAAAGAATAAAGGAAATCACAGTTTTAAAAAAAAGAAACAGTCAAAGTTGTCAGTAGAAAATTCAGGATTGGATAAACAAAGTGAAATGTAATGGAAACTAGAAGAATATTGTAGCAAGAGGGAAGGAGGGGGGGGGGGAATACATGCTCCAGCCAGCACCATGTCATGTTTCCCTTGTGAGTGTGTGTGCAAAAGGAGGGAGCAGCAAATCCCTTGCTCTAAGTACTTCTGAATCTGGCAGGGAGGGGGAAACTCCAGGAGCATCAGGGAAATGAGGTATGAGCTTCAGCTCTAAGAAGACACCCACCTGCTTTGAGCTTTGGAGGAAAAGCAGTGAAACCACCTTTATAGCATTTTTCACAGAGTAGGAACTTATCTGAAAATTTAATCGGCCCACTTCCCAAGCATACTCCAGCTTCCCCACATACACAAATATACTCACATGCACACATGCGGGCATGCACACAAACCAAATCTATAGCTCAAAGGGATCCAGGAGGCTTTTACTGCTCTCAGAAGAAAGGGCCTTAAGTTCTCTTAGACTGGGAATTACTGTTAAATACTCCTTGAACAATTTTCTTACTGGGCTTGGAGAAACACTTTAAGGGAGTGAGCGTCACTCCGGTTAAAGAAAACTCTGTTCAGAGAAGTTCCTAATCTAAACTTTCAGTGTAAGAAACCTAGAAAAGATATTTTTTCAGAGACACTATAAGGTTTAAACTTAAAACATAGCTTGCAAAGAAGCAGTTTATAGTAAATTTATGCAGACATTTCTAAAAATTGAAATTTCTGTATCCTTTTTTAGTTTCTATAAACTGGAACTTCTTAAACATTTTTTTACAAATGCTAAATCTACAAGCAAGTTTGTTTATCAAGGGCTAATATATTCTTATTGTTGTGGTTAATGTAAAGTAATTAAAACTATTACTAGATGAGAGCCCTGTTCCCTTGAGCCTTTGTCATATTTCCACATAGAAAAATATTTTTTCAAAAAGAAAAAAAACTGAGAGAGTTGTAGCTCTTTGAAACTGGGGATTTCTGTGAAAGCAAACATTTTTTTCCCTTCATCAGGACAAAATCTGAATGCATTTGTAACCAAAAGAAAAACATTCTGGATTTCTGATAAATTCAAGCTGCATTAGACATGCCTGCAAGGACTGAGATGCAGAGAAAGGACATTTATAGGGAGGGAAAAAAACTTTCCTGCCTTTTATCTTCTGATATAAAGAGAGGACCAGATACTGGTTATTCTTTTTCCCCTACTGCACTGACTGTAGAGATTGTTCTTTGTTTAGAAGTTCCTTTTTTTCTGGGAATGGAGAGAATCTTATAGTTCTTAATTCCCATTCAGTCCTGTGCTTGCCAGCAGAACATGCAGCATTAATCAGCCAGAATCTTGGTTTCATATAGGGTGCCCCATTTTTGTTCTCCAGAATTAGTGGGTTCTTTGTGTTACATTTAGGAGAGTCCAGGGTGAAGACTATGAATAAAGCAATGTTGCACATGGGAATCCATTCACATGGTACTGCATGTAGCCATTGATTTATTTAACTTCCTGACTCACAACCATTTGGGGAACTGCTTTTAAAAGGTATTGGGAAGGGAGGATGGTTGACTGCCACATGTCACTCTATCAGACATTTGCAGAAATATCTCCAAGAAATAGAGAAGCTCTGACCAAGCAGCATTGCACTTAATCACTTATTGTACGTATTTTTATTTTTTGAACCATGAAATTGCACACTTGAAAATCAGGGATTTGTAGTGGACATTCAGTACTCTACTCAAACAAGTACAAATGGAACTAGGTTATTGCAAATGAAATCCATAAGTTGCTTATCTCTGGACACTACATAAGTGTGCAACTTAATAAGTGTTTCTGTTTATCATCACAGTGATCCAAACAAACTTACAAATCCCCATTTCATCCACATCTGTAATAGGCGGACAAGAAGCCTGATGCGTAAAGTAAAATTATCATGCTATCAAGACCATTCTAATCACTGCAAACCCTAACAAAAGGAGTAAATGCCCGTATGCTGGCATCTAGGATTAGAGCAACACCTGAAAGCTCCCTAACTGGGTGTCATCCAATTTAATATATAGAGCAGAGTCTTAAACATTCACTACATAGAAATCCATTATATTGAATGCTCTAAAAATAAAAATCAGGAGAGAAACTGAACATTTCTTCTTAGAAATCTATGTACTCCAAACCACAGGCATGCCATATTGAAATTTTATTCCCAGTCACCTGGAAAAAAAACCCCACTGAACTTTGCAGTCATGCATAAGGTTTTATTATAAAGATACTGAAATTTGGGCAAATCAAAACCACAAAATACTGTCAATAAACAGATCTGCATGAGTTATTTTTCAAGGGGCAAAAAAAAAATTATGAGAAAGCTGCATGTAGATCTGAGCTGTTTTCCACAAAACCAGAAAGTTATTATCAGTTTGAAATTTGTTACATTTACATATTAAGAATGTTGAACATCTTTTTTTAAAAAAAGAAAAAAAAAAGATGAGCAGGCAGAGTACAACAGTCCCATTCTGTGAGGTTGAGCTGTGAAGAATAATCAAGCAGTACAGACTTCTAGATCTCCCTTCATATCCAACCAATTAAATTGTCATCAAAATGGAGCATCCAGTGATATGAAATAGGAGTCTCGGCTAATGCAATCTGAAGTTGTAGACTGCCTCCTGGGACAGGGCCAGATGCCTGATGGGTCTTAAAGCAAAAAGGATTGGCCGCCTTTCCCCCTACATTGTGTCACTAGTGTATTTATTCTCTGACCCCCCCCCCCCCAATGTGCCATCAGGAAGGCTTATGTTTGGCAGTGGACTAAGATCCTATCTTTAAGCTGAAAAAGAGTTCAGTGCTTTGCAGAAATAATGCTTTACAGACACACCAAACAGCCCTCCTTTCTCCAGATGGAGCTGCACCAGGGTCCCTTCCAGCCATTGATTCACCTTCTGTTTTAACTTGTCACTGTCTTTTTTTAATATTTTTTCCACTTCCTTATGACCTGCTTGCCTTGCATTTTGGAGAGTTTTTAAGAACTCTGAAATTCTCAGAGTTCCACTTGAATAACACCCACAGAAAGATGCCACACATTGTCAGAAGACACACACACACACACACACACACACACCCACACACACACTCCACAATGCATAACAGATTGCAAACTGAGGGAGGCAAGAATGATGAATGTAACCAAACATTGGAGATTCCCCCTCTGTGTCTGCACTGCATACTCCTCCACCAAAAGTGTTAAAGAAAGAAAAGGGTTTGGCACATAGACTAATCGCTAAAGAAGGAGGTTTGACAGAAGCCTGGAAAAAGAAAAACAGTGATAATAGCAAGTAGCTAGCATTGCAGAACTACATCTTTTAATTCTCCTGTAATGGCATCAGATTATTTTTGCTAATGAGTAAGGGTTAAGACCCAGGCTTTGACCTTGATGGTCTTAGGGAACATCTTTCTGATAGGTGAGTTGAGTCACATAAATGGTTGAGTTCAACCTGCTAATGTTTAATAGTTTTAATATATAGGAGGAAAGAATTAAGTACACTTATGAGACCTTGAGTTGGCCAAAGACTTTCCTGGTAAAATAACAATGCACAGGTGTCAATCACTTTTTCTATTAAGAAACAAGTGATTCTCAGTCCATTACAATCTAACACCGGAGAACAAGAAGTAGGGTTTGAAGCTGGGAACAGCTATACAAAATTCTAGAATTTTCAGTATTTAGTTTTCTTTGTCATTAGAGGCATTTTTACTATCTGAAATAAAAGTATCTTATCAGAATTGTGTCCTTGAATTTCTGCCTGTGAGCCTTCTCAATGAAGGCCAGCCTGGGCAAATCTGACAAAATCCTTTGTTTTGGACACTGATTTTGAACCAGTCTATTTCTTAAAATCAAAATTGTGGGTTTTTATTTATTTGTTCATGTATTTGTTAAATTTGTTTGCTGCCCAACTCACCTTGAGGCTACTCTTTTGCTCTTTTAAGGTTTGCCTGACAACGATCACAAAGCTTGGCTGAAAGGCTGGGTCCAGTAGTAGAAGAAGTAAAAATGACTGCACTTGCTTTGAATCATAAAAGTGGATCTGCCTGCAAAGAAATATATTGAGCCTTTACCAGATTGTTGCTTGTTACAAATGAGTGAGGGACACTAGTTTCAACTGCTATATGAGTATATATCTGGTAAAAAAAAGAAAAAAAAGTTTAATTATCAACAGAGGCTTATCAGCATGTGTTCAAGAAAGTATAGTGTGTCTTCTGAAATTGAATGTAGTGTTGGTAGACAAGCCCTAGCTGTAGTGCACAGAGCACGGTAGTATCAATTTCTGAAGTATATTGACCTACCTTGATCAGTGATGCTCAAGAAACATGAACATATGCAGAGTATCGCAAAATGGCTGTCTCTTCTATACGCACGGATACCTTCCAAGATCAGAGTTCTTCATACAACAAAGTCAACTAAGTAAAGAAGCTATCTGACTATCTACACAAGAGACATGAAAACATTTATATAGATTGGAATCTAATAACATAACTTAAAAAGCACAAGTCAGAGAGAAAGGATGGAGAAATAATATTACAAATTACACAGTTCCATTGTTTCTTGAACCTTATGCTATACATACCGGAATGAGTAAAATAGATAAAATAGATGGATGGGTGAGTAAATAAATGGAGAAGTTTCTCTCCCATGAAATTTGCAATCTAAACTTCAGATATTGATGGAGAAGAAGGTAATGAGCTGAGGGATATAAAAAGCAAGTTTTATATACCTGAACTGAAATATCAGTTTCTGGAATGAACATATAGTTATCACTACCTCCCAATATTAAAAGAATTGTGTGATCAGTTTTAAAAGCAAATCCTGAAGAAGAATGTCTAGTAAAATCTTGTATGTGTGAAGCTAAATTGAAATTGTGTGACAAAATTGTCAAAAAGAAATCCAATAAAACAGTAAATATATTTTAATCTTGTAGCAGTTTCAAACTTATTTCAAATACCAAAAAAATACATATCCTATACCTAATATATACGTCAACTATGATTTAGTGAAATTAATGAAAATTAAATTGAGTTTCATATCATGTAAAAACTTTGACTGAAATGGAATCTGTACGAAATCTTTTATATGTGAATATTCTTCCATCCAGTTATAACCAGCAGTATGATTCAGAAAAAAAATCCTACAGTTTTTCTACTGGTTATCATTCAACAGAAAACTTGCTTTTGAATTTTATTTCAAATGAGGAGAGAAATTCAGTAAAATGCCTAGGTCACCAAGGGATGTCTGTAAATCTCCAGCAACAATTAGCAGCCTTCCATACTAAGGATGTTTCAGTCAAATTCCAAAGGCAGGTATAAAGAGGAAACATCTCCCATTGGGATTTTTCAATTATGGAAACCATGCAGCCAGGGAAGCTTCAGAGTAATGGAGAGATATAGAAAAATGCTTCTACACCATCACTTTCCCTATAACATAAACTCAAAAGTAGTTCCAAAAGAAGATGGAAAGAAATCCAAAACATCCTGAGAATAAATAAGAAAAACAAAAATGGGCAAAGAATACATTCAAGTAATGCAAGGCAGATTATTCACAATATCCCACTGCACCTTTTTTATTTTTGGTCTGGATAGATTTCCCAGAGAGATCTAAGTTAATATCCACAGCCAGCCATGAAATCACTGTATAATCTTGAGCTCTCAAATGAATCTCCTATACAAGATTATTGTAAGGACAAGGAAAGGGAAGGGCACGTGCTGCCCTGATAGCCAATTAGTTAAGGAGCTAAATTACATATTGTAACTGATGCACACTTAGAAGAGATAGAAAAGCTCCTGGGATCTTCATGTCCTTCTGCTATGATTTTTATTCATATTTCATTCAATCAGTTGTGAGACAAGAATAAGGTTACTCTAGCACAAAGATGCCTTAGACAAGCTGTATGGAAAAATAAAATATGCCACAAGGAACATTACCTGAAAATCATGAATCCAATTCAAAGAGCTACCTCTGCCTAGTCCAGATTTCTCTGCTTGGGTCATCCAAATCTTTGGACTAGCTGTATAATTCTCAACCAGCCTAGCAAAGGTATATATACTGCTCAAAAAAATAAAGGGAACACAAACATATAGGATCCTATACGTTTGTGTTCCCTTTATTTTTTTGAGCAGTATATATTACTGTTATGCTCTCAAATATAAACGATATTGCGGTGGAAATGAGGGCATAGCAGATTCCCATTGATGTACATGATGTACAGATGTAAAGAGGCAATCAGGTATGAAATTTTCTGCTAAGAATTTTAGAAATAATCAAAGCAGAATTACTCATACACTGGATAAGAAATTTCTGGGTAGCAATTTGGTTATTTTGCCTAATCCAATATTGTATACTACAAAGTCTTCACAGTTGCAGTCAGTTCTTCCCATCACCTGATATCTGATATGTTTGAAGTAACAATGTCAGAAATTCAACCTGAGACTCAACAGTTGAACCACAGGATCTCCATAATGCAGAGACATTTTTTTTGTCTTTTTTGCATATAACAAAATTAGTTCTGCTTTATTCAAATATTACATATGATCAGGCTCATCCTCTAGCCTTCTGAACTTCAGTAATCCAGATAGCTAATGAAAACAAAATATTTTGCTTCAGGCACTAAACAACATATAGTTTACATATACACTATATCAATAATCCACTGTTTTGCAAAATTATGAACACATGGCAGTTTTAAGGATTTCTTCTAATAGGCCTTTTACTAATAAACAAAAAAGCATCCATATAGTGATGCATGATCTGAACTGCAAGTTGCAAACAATAAATCTTAATTAGGGTTAAATGTCCAAATTTGCAAAGATGGAGGGAACATTAGTCAGCTGTGAATTGGTCCGGACCCTCCTTATATGCACTGCCTGGTGATGCAGCTGCAGGAATACATAAATTAGTTTTTTATTTGTTTGTTTCAGTACAATCAGTCCTAGCTGTTTCTTAAGAGTATTTCCAGTATTAGTGGGCTTACTGGCATCCATCTTATTAGCATCTGAGATGCAGGTGGCATCTGGAAAGTTTTATTTTAAAGGACTTTTAGCATTGTGCTTAGGTTAATGAGAAAGCGTTACTTTAAAATATCTCGGCAGTTCTCCAAAGTGCAGTTCAGTCTCACGACATCTGCTCAGTGGATACTTGTTACCTTTGGGTTTATTCAAGCAACCTTCTGAATAACCTTTTTGTTAGCAGCTTTCTTTATAGGCTCTGCGGCAGGAGGGCAAATAGTTCCTGGTAGAGGACTTTTTTTTTTTTTTTGCTGTCTTGAATGCACAAGTTCTTTGGCAGTAAAGCTTTATTGGCTTCCTCAATTTTCAGTCTATGCCATGGCCAGATGCACCCAAGGAAAGGGGTACTCAGTGTTTCATATCTGGCCAGTTCGGGTTTTTTTTGACACTCTAAGTCATGCTGTGAAAATGCTGACCCTTGAGATTTAATCTGGGCACTCTAAATCTTAATTGCACAAGACTGTTTGCAATCAAAGGTTTAATCTATTGTTTATTCACATTTTGGAAAAGAACAATGATGTTGAGTTTTGTGTTTGTGTGTGTGTATGTGTGTGTGTGTGTGTGATTATTTGTTACTGTAATTTCCTCCCTCACTTCTATTCCAGAATCTTAATAAAAAAATTCAGGGAAAGGTTTAGATTACCTCCAATCTGGTATGGTAATGGGTATTTTTTCTATCTATAGCATAAGTAATAATTTAATAAAAAGTTTGCAATGAAATATGGAAAGGACTGCTAAATAAAATACACTTCGCGGTATCATATAAAGAACAGAATTATTTGTTGTTGCTGAAAACAGAACCCTATATGGAATTCTCCCTTATTTAGAATTACAAATATTGCAGGTTCATTCCTAAATTAAACTAAAATATATCCTGCTTCTACTAGAGGAGCAAATGGGGATTTTTAAAATTACTTGTGTTTCTCCAAAAATGCTAATCCACATATATAGACTAAGATGCTATAGAAGCACAAGCATAAACCAAATCAAGGCAACTGGAAAGGTCATTCTCCTATATGATATTGCTAAAATTGGGTTATGAAACTTCAGCAATGGAACTAATTATTAGCTGTTTTTAAATGGTCACATATTTAAAAGTAATACAGAGAATGGATATTACAATCCAAAAACATGATCATAGTAATAATGGTATAAAAAATGTTACTGAAAGCTCAGCTCACATAAATTTGTTTTAGGTGTTATCATTAAGGTAAAAAGGACAATATATGTACTTGTATAAGCACAATCTATCAATGAAAATCAAGGGAAATATTGTCTAAACTAAGGTCATGAGTAGTTGTGGCATTATAGCACAAGTTTGAGTCAACAAGTTTTGGTTTAAATTGATACTGCTGCATTTTTATGCCTGGCTGTTATTGTTCTTTTGTTTTTAGAGAATTCAACAGCAGTTGAAATATTTTTAAAGGTTTTATTGAATTTATTTTCAATTGTTTATCTAAATATTTTAAAAATTCCTAATTAAATTATAACACAACTTTCAAATTATTAAAAGAAGAGAGATGTGAAAACATTTTAGCAGATATTCTAACTCAGACATGTCAAACTCACAACATCACATGACATCGCGCGATGTATCGGAGCTTTTTCCCCATTGCCGGCAATGGGGTGGGTGTGGTTTCTTGTGACATGTCCGGCCCATGGGCTGGCAGTTTGACACCCCTGTTGTAACTGGTTCTCACTCCTCTAAGAACCATTTAATATTTTAAAGGTATATTTTTTGATTCTAGGTTTACTTAACTAGTTAATTGCTTTGAATCATTTTTATTACAAGGTAGAATAGAACTATTATAAATAAATAAATGGCTTGATCCACTTCCTAAGATATGTGTATAAGGTATTAATACACAACAATAAAAATCTTACACATACACACTTTAAACACTATTCAAGGTTGCTCACTCTTTAAAAGATTCAAACAAATAGATAACTGGGAAAACTGAAAATTACCTTTCAGAATTAGAAGTTTCTGGTTAATCTACAAGTCAAGTCACGACTTACTTAAAAGTATCCTTAACTACTATTAGTGCAGTTGTATGCTATGCAAAATAATGGGCAGTATCAGGATTTAGATTGGACATCTTCACTTGGGTCCATGATTCTTCTTGAAGCCAAGACAGAGAAGGTTTAAAGGAGATGGAAGAAAAGAATGAATGTGGGATATCATGCACTGTACAGAGGTTGTTTTAGGTACCATTTTCTCAGTGCAGTCTTTTGGTTGCCTCGATATTTTGCAGAAGAGGAAAGATGTTCTTAAAGATCATTGTATTTAACTCCTTTCTCCCTTTGAAAAGCCCAGCTGGATACTTCAATGAACTTGCTTACTTCTCTTTTCTCTGAGATGTTGCTAGGTCAGAGTCCAAAAACTAGGCTCTTTATCAGCCATATGAAAATGAAGGAATATCCATATTCTTATAAAAAATAAGAAGTGGACATTTAAAATAAAATATATTTCAAGTAAGGATAAACTGGAATTGACCCTATTTCCTTCCTTCATTTATAGGCACTTATTTTAAAAAACAAAAACATCCTGAATGATAAATTAGTTGGTTTTCAAAATCTAAGAGTTTATCACAATTTAAAATTGCCTTAAAAACTCAACCTGCTCCTGAATTTTCAGGATTCATTTGCAAGACAATGTTCCTGAATACTAAATTATATTGACCTTCATACAAGGCAAACACCAAACTTCCTCTGAACTAAAATAAAAAGGCAAATCGTGCTTGCTTTTTTGCATTTCTTCTGGGTAAAGACACCCAATTAACCTTTATGGAGCCTAGTTCTGGCAAGTTCCTGCTCTTTGGAAAAATGAGCCAACCATCTGTGTATTTGGGGGGGGACATATTGTGAATG